AATAATCTGTAATTATTGTTATTCTCATTGTTCATTTGTTTTAAAATAATCACTTTAAAAGAATAGATAATTTTAAAGATACTATTTAAATTCAGTCAAATACTTTATGAACTAAAATTTGCATTTACTAAATTTTAAATGCTAAAATGCCAAGTGGTCACACAGAAGCAAATTGAATTAACTCAGGTTTTGTTTCTTGGCTTTGCAATCATTCTGCTACCGTCATTTATCTGTTGTTTAAATGCAAGGAATACCTAGTACCATGGGAACTGGGGACACAAACTGTGCCTAGAGACAACTCGAATCATCCAGAACTGTGTTTGCTGGGCATTCTCCTAATTAACTTTCAGGTGGGATATAAAATATATATGCATATATATATATATATATATGAATACATATAATTAAAATTCAACAGTCACCACAGCAATTGTTTAGAATGTGGACCAACAAAAGATTTGGGGGGAAAAGTATTTTATCACTGACATTGTTTAGAATTGCTGGCATGGGGATAATAAAAAGCAGACTGACTTACAGTCGATTTTATTATTGGTTTTAAATTCTCAGCAGACATTGCAGCCCCAAACCATGTGCACCAGCCAGGAAGATCCCTCCTGCTGCCCACAGCGGTGCCACTGAGCCTGAGATGAGTGAGGGCTGGGCGTGGTTCCCAAGCCTGAGGGCTCTGGGAGGGCCGGAGGCATGAGGGCAAGGGGTGAGAGGTGAATCTGAGACCCAGGGCCTCCACCGCACATTCCGGGGGACTCAATCCAAGACCCTCATGACGCCCCCAATTCTCACGAATCACGGAAGCATAAAGATCCCCTCACAGATTGCCTTTGGTGAAGAGGAACTGAGAGCTCCAAGCTCTGCTGAAACTCTGGTGCCGGATTCTCAGTGGTGAAGTGAGTCACCCACCCGCATGTGAGGGAAATGTGCGTTTCAGCAACTGAAAATCCCCTCATGTCATGGGCCCTTCAGCTGAATCCACAGATGTTAACTCTACCAATGCCAACATTCCATTTCCATCTGAACCCTGAAACTCCTTGATTTGTCAAGCAGATGAGCTGTACACCGGTGTGTTTGGGGGGGTCAGGGAAACCAAAGGCCTCTAGTCTCCATGCAAGGCCATGACCCAGGCACTGTCTTTAATGAAAGCACCTTCTCTCTCTTCCCCTCCAAGTGGTACCCACCCTGAGAGACACTGAAAGTGCTCTGAGGGCAGAGCCCCAGTTTCTGTCCAGTGACCCTCACACTTCCCAGGGGAGTAAGTCTGATGAAAGGCTAATTTCCCAGTTTCGGGGAGAGTCAAGCATGTCTTTCCTCCTCCAGAAGAGGGACCTTTAACGTAATGGTACAGACTCACACAGGAGAAAGGAAAACAGAAGCTGATTTTAACGCTGGCTCCCAAGACCCCATAGGAATCAAGGGGAGACTCTCTCCTCAGGCAAAGAGGACAGCAGTTACTCACCACCCCAGGAAGGCACTGTGCACTGGTGGAAGAGATGGCAGGTGAACCTTGCCTGATAATCAAGGGCCCTCAGAAGGCCTTTCTCCTCCAGGCAGCAGCTGGCCAGACATCCATCTGCAGGTCCTGAAGATGCAGCCACAGCAGTAGGGGCTTCATGCCAGCCTTGATGCCCGGCACTGCCCAGGGGAAGGCCCCTACATCTCATTCCTTAGGACCAGTAGATGGTGTCCTACCAACAGAACTGGCAGAAGAGACAGGGCCGTCTAGCCACACGGCTCGTGCCCAGGTGTTTGGAAGTAGGGCTGCCCTGACTCATGCATTTCAAACACAGCACTGGCCCCTAAGCTCAGATTGCTTTATTACTGTCAAGTAGTGTCAGCCAGCCTTATATCTAAGGACTACAGGCCTTAATTACTCCAGGAAACAGTCAGGTGGCCAGACAAAGAAAGGTTTGTTACAAAGGCCCCTTTATTGAAAGGGCCTTTGCCTAGATTGCTCTAGGAACCCCTTATATCAGCCACCAGCCCAGTGCTGGGGAGCAGGACAAGACAAGTCACCCTCTAGTCTGCAGGCATTTCAGAAGACCTGTGCTGGTCTCTTGAACCAGCACACCTTAGGTCTGGCTGGCTTAGGTTTCCTGGCTGTGTGATCTGGGGTAAGTCACAGAGCCTCTCCAAGGCCCAGTTTCCATATCCATAAAATAGAGCTAATCAGTGGGAATTTCACCTACATTTCCTGAATGCTGAGTGCCCCTGAGTTAGTGGAGGTGCCTAACACCCCTGGGTCAATCCCAGCACTGCTGAGCAGTGTTTGTGCCCTCCACTGGGGTGCAAAATTGAGTGGTGCTTTCAATTGTGCCCCAATCCCTCCATCCCCTCGCATGGAGTGAATATTGTTCTTTTTTCGTAGCCAGGATCCACCACTCTCCCGGTCTGCAGGGGTAGGGCAGAACCCCCATCCCCGACTCAGGATAGCTATTCCCTCCCCTTCGTTCCCTAGAAACGGAGATCCACCTAGATAGGCCAGATCTTGGCCAGCCCTAAACCTGGAATCTGAAAGGAGGGTGTGAGACAAAGGTTCAGGGAGCATGGAGATTCCTCCTGATGTTGGCAAAACTGGAAGGAGGCACTGAGGCCTTGCCCAGGAGGAGAGGATGCTGCAGGGTCCACGAACACTGCTCCTGGGGTGGACCTGGCCTGTACTTTTGCTGCCCCAACCCCATATTCCTGCTGCTCTTCTGAGCTTGCTTTCCTAGGCTTCTGCCAATGCGGTAAAGTACTGGATGGATAACCTTCCAGTATATTGCTTTTCTGTTTAAGTTAGCCAGATTTGGGCTCTGTGGTTTGTAAACAGGAGTCCTGCCTGATGCTGTGAAAGATACAGGCCAGGGAGGAAAGTACCCAGAATATAGGGGGGGAATGTTCTTTCATCTGCCGACACAAATATATTTATCATAGCATTATTTAAATTTGGGGAAATGAGAGAGCTCATACCTAACAGAAGTGAAATGGTTAAATAAACTCTGATCCATTCGCTTAGAAAAGTAAGCAGTGTTCAGAATAGCAGGCGAGGATGACACAATGACCAGGAAAGTGCTCGTGAGACAGACTGACAAGTCAAAGCCAGATAAGAAACTGTATGTGCAAGATACGTGACCCTCTTCCCCCAGAATTTAAGCTTCCCTAGGGGCTGGGATGTTCATCTGTCCTGTTCAGGGTCCTATCTCCAGGCTTTGGCAAGAGCAGACATTCAACAACACTTAAGGAAGAAAAGAGTGAATGAATGTCTGAATCAACTGTCTGCACAGGGGAGGTGTGGGGAAACACGTCCTTTCGTGATATTAGTGACTGTTGTAGGTTAGTCAGATTTTGTAAAGCTGTTGTTTTCTGTTTCCAGCATTTCTTTCGTGTGGTTTCATTATTTTCCTGGGAAGAACATTTTTTTCTTAGTCCAAACCACAGGAAGGTGACCCAGCTTCCCCTAATAGTTATGTCCTCTCTTGAGAGCCTTAAGCTGCCACCAAACAGGGTGATTAGGGCAAAGGAACGTTTGCTCCCCTTGCCAAATGGAAGTGCTGGGCTGAAGAGTCTACCAGTCCGTCAGGAGCTGGCTCCGAGGCCGGCAGAGGGAACACCGCCGTCCTGCGGCTGCAGCTGCGAGCACCCGGACCTCACCGCCCAAGCCCAGCCTGGGAGCTCGAGTCTGGGGGTGGGGTGAGGGGCAGGTGCCCAGGCCCGGTCAAAGGCCGCCGCCCTCCTCCTTTCCCCGCGGGCTGTCGTGTCTCCGCCACCAGTCCCTGCACACGCAGCGTCTAAACAGCAGCAGATTCAACAGGCAGAGGGAGTTCAAAGGGGTCAACCGCCCCAGCCGACTGGCATTCAGCTGAGGCCGCCTCCAGCTTAGCGAGTGGGATCGAGTCCCACCTCGGAATGACTAAGCAGGGAGGCGGAGGCGTCAGCATTCTGCGGAGGTCCGCAGGTCGGCTTCAGGGAACCCTGAACTCTTGCAGCAAAGCGGAAAAGAGGATGCTGATCAGTCAGGTGAGCTGTGAGAAAAGATCGCTGGGCGGGGCTGGCTGTGGACCCTGCTGAGGCCACTGTCTTAGGACACCACTGGCTTGCATTCACTGTGACAGTTATATTCCCTCTTTCCCTTTCTTTGTCTCTGTCTCTCCCTTTCGCCTCTCCCCCTCCCGCCCCCGCTTCCTATGCACATACACGTTTTCTTCATGATATAATGAATAAAGCCACACACAGGAAAATGCTGGACACAAAGAAAAGAAGACACACATAAAAAAGCACATGCCCTGTCCAGGCTCACATTCGTTTCTTTCATGCCTTCTTCAGAAATTCTTCTCTGCAGCTGCCACTTCCCGTTCTTGTATCAAGACATCTTCCATCCTGGTTTGATCCAACCAGCACAAGCCCAGGGCTTCTTGGCACAGCCTGCAGGCATGTTTCCCTTGTGAACCTGTGCTGCATTGTTTCACGGGTTGCCTACAGGGCAGTACAGGCTGGGTGGCAGCCCTCCTCAAAGCTCTGGGTCCCGTTCTGCAGGGTCTCTCTCCTCCAAGCCCCTGAGGCACCAGAAGCAGCTGGATAGAGCCCTCTCCTCAGAGTTCTGGGTCCCAGCTCTTTGTGGTTCCTCCTCCAAGCTGAGGTTCCAAGCCAGTCAGGCGGCACTCTTCCTCGAAGCTTCCATGTGCCGATGACCCCAGCCTCTTGCCCGTTTCCCCAGCCCTTCTGGGGGTAGCTGCTCCCTGCAGTTACCTGTCAGATACTTCAGGGTTCGTTTTTTGCTCTTTCAGTCTGCTAATACCAGTTTAATTAACTCCCTTTATTAAATTCTCTCTGTTAAAATAACTAGGGTGATCAACCTTCTACCTGAATAGCATTTATATAATCAAAAGACTTTCTGGAGTGTATTAAGTTTTTGTTTCATTGGTTAGTTTTATTGTATTTAATTTAAATTAAAATTCACTGAATTTTTTCCAATTATGCTTTAATTTTGCAATTATTAAAAAACATGGTGGTTTCTGTTTTCCTGATTGGACTCCTATAGTGATATAGGAAGAAGGCTATTAGGAAAATGTGTGTCAGGTTGAATCTGCTAGTGAAGACCCTTTTCTTGGTAGTTTGATGGAGGACCCATCTCCTCCTCAGCTGGGGTGGGGAGAAGAAACTTCCATCCAACATGTTCAAATGACAATCCTCAAGGAACTGTGTTCAAGGCCTAATTGAAAGCTACCATGCACGAGGCTTTCCAGGTTACCAACAATTTCTTAAATTCTGAGGGTTTTAGGTACAGATGAACAGTGGGGGAACACATGTCTTTTAAAAAGCCAAGGATTCTAGACTACCTGAAGGAGGGTCTTGGCAAGGGAAATAAGAGCCAACTGGAGAAGAGAATGCAGTAGAACAAATGTACAGAAGGAGTTAAGCAACCTAACTGTTTTATAAAGACCAAAGGGAGGCCACCACATTCTCAGTCGGGAAGGGAGGGTCTATTAAAATCACAGGTGGTTGCAATAACCATACATCCATTCAGTGCTGAATTTCCATTCCCTATCTCCTTACTTCGGGAGCAATTAGTCTCGGGTGAAAAACTGCACTTGCAGCTAATTGCACCTGCAATTACCTACTTCCGGGTGCAATTAGCCACTTGAACCTAATTCTGAGTGTGCAAGTGTTTAATTTCATATGTGCAGAGGTGATTCCAGATACAGTTAGTTGTGCCCTCAGTCTTTGCACCTGCAACTAATTGTGACTAATAAAACAAGTCTTCATGTAAGTCAGGTTGAGGGCACATATGGTGGACTCTGGGGAACCAAGAATTCGATCACTGATAAGATACAAGTGTACTAGAGGGGACAAAGGGACAAACTATTAGAACTTGTCATTCTTTGGATCTATGGTCATTATCCATGTCCCCTTCCTACAGCTTGTTCCTCCCAGACCATATAATATGAAGTCAGCAGATGAGAGGTCTGAGTTGGAAAAGATAACAGAGCAACTCTTCTGCTGACATTGAGGAATGTCCATAAGGCATAAGTTAAAATTACATTCCAGCCAATTTCCCATTATTTGGGTCAACTCTGATGAGGCTGTCCAAGACACTTAGGTAATAGACATGTACTGAAATCCTACTATGTGCTTAGTCATAAAGTGAATCTAGAGATTACCAGTCATGGCTTCTGCCTTCAATTTATGTCAGTTCTGTAAATATTTATTGAGTAACTACTATCTGCTTGACATGTCAAAGTGCTCATGGGTTTATTCAGTAAATCCATTTATTCTGTCATTCTACAAATAGGATTTATTTCCATCTTGGAATCCACATTCAAGTGGGGAAAACAGATGTTAAATAACTACTGACACAATTAATGTCTTCATTATAGGGGCTGTGAGAGTGTATGACTGGGACCTGCCCTCGGCTGAGAGTTCAAGTTAGGCTTCTCCAAAGAATTGATGATTGAGCTCAGATTTGACAGATGACTAAGAGTTACATAGGCAAGGGGCTAGGGGATAGAGTTCCAGGTAAAGGGAATGAAATTGCAAAGGCTCTGAGGCAGGAAGGAACATGACATTAAGAAATGGAAAGAAGGCCAGAGCGAGTGGAGCAGGGTCAGGGTGTGGGGGCACGAGGTCTATGTGATGAGTGAGAGGAGGTTCTTCAAAGCACCGAAAAACGTGCCCCGTGAAAGAACTGACTATGGTCCCTACCGGAAAGGAGGGCAGTGTGCCGCCTCTCAGCGTCAGCCTAGAGGGAATGGTGTTGTGAGACACATTTGTTTGCCCCTCTTCCTCTAATCTCACCAGTACCAACTGGACCCTAGAAGAACCAGAAGAGAAATGAGGCAGAAAAAGGGTAACACTGCACGTCAACCCCTCCCTCCCAACTGCACATCCCGAGCTTAAGCTTAGGTAAGTAACTTCGACTTGGAGAGGAGCCTGAAGTGTTACATTAGACTGGTCTGGACTTTAATATTTGAAAAATCTCATTCTCAAAAATGAGGCAGTTCTAATTGTTAAAAGTAATCCAGAAAGCTATGGAGTCTTAAGATGTCTCTAAAGGATGGGTTAATTGAGTCCCACTTGAGAAGATCTGAAGGTTGAATGGAAGGGACATCCAGCCTCTTTGTGACTGCACTCAACTGAGGTCTGAGAAGGCAGGGAAGGTTCCACAAAGATAAGAAGGACTGATAGGCTCTGGTAGAGAGGAGGCCTGTCACTGCAGGAGAATGGTGTGAACACAGAGGACAGAGTCCATTCTCTGTTGGCTGGGAAGCCTCAAGAAGTTGGGCGTGGCTAGAATGGATGGTCTGAGGGGTGAGCAGTAGTGTTGGATTAACATGGGGTAACGTCACATGGAGGGAAAACTTGAAGGCTGGTCAATAGGAGTAAGGGGTCTCTAGCATCAAACGCAGCTTCTCTTCCAAACTCTTACCAAGCAGTAAAATGACTTAAACTAGAGGGGGTTTCATTTAGGCGAGTTCCCTTCCAGGGCTGAAATTATGACTTTCTCCCCCTATTTCCCGGTAGGATGGTAAGAAGCCACACTGTGAAGACATTTCCTCCCCATCCTGACCCCTCCCCCAGCATTCCTGGCCAAGAGGGAACATGTGCCATGCAGGTCTTCAAGGATATGAGGAGAGGAGGAGGGACCCCTCTTTTCCTCCCTTCTCTCTATGGCCAAGACTGGCTCGGTGCTGCCTGGTTCACCTACTCCTCCCTCAGCACACAGGAAGGGTCATGCACCTGGATCCTAGACAGGCAGCCAGTGCAGACCTGGCCCCTCAAATATTCAAGGCATCCTTTCACTCATTCTCCCCTTCCAGCTCTTGAGACTAGAAATAAAGGACTTCGAGATGGGAGACATGTGATGGCAAGAATCTGCTTCCCTGCTCAGATAGGAGGCATCAGACCCACACCAGACCATAACACAACAGTGCTGGGTTAAGCCACTGAGATGTGGGGTTACTCATGACTGTAAAATGTTGTAGCCTAGTCTCCCTTGACAAAGCTGCACACACCAAACCCCAACATCCCACACCCTCGTTTCCCTCCCTTCTGCCCCCTTCTCACAACACCTTTGGCCTCATTCATTTCCATGCAGCAAAGTATTCCTAGCTCTAGAGGTGGGGGAAGAACCACAAAGAAAATTCAGGCCTTTCTCTCCCTGGAGCATGAACGCTATCGCACTCCCGGGCCATGGCCTTGGCTGGCCCCCTTCCTGGAATGTTCCTCCTCCAGGTGTTCACGTTGGGGGCTTCTCCTCAGCCGAAATGACCCTTTTTCAGGAAGGCTAGGGGCACCTGCCTAACTTACCATCACAACACTCTCCTTTACTGCTTCAGGCATTTATCAGTCTGTGAAATTATCTTTATTTGTTTATTGTCTTTCTCCTCCTCAGTGTCATCTCCATGAGAACTAGGTCTATGTTATTTCTTTAATGCCAATAAATAGGTGTGGAGTGAATGAATGAATGAACGAATGATATAAAGATCCTCACTGTGGGGTTAGCTCATTCCGCTTCCTTTACAAATGGGGAAATGGAGCCCTTTTCCCTAAAAAGAGGAAACAGAGAAGCAGCTAATGCAGCTCTACCATGCTAGCTGTTTCTGGAGTGCTAAACTTGGATGTGATTTATTCAAATGAAGACTCTGGGGGAATTGTTTCGGAGGGATCATAAAACAAATGTCATTTTCACCTGGAGAATTCACCCAACCTTCTAACCAATTTCAAATATAGTTCTTTAATGCAGATTTGACAAATTTGAAATCTCTTACACAAAGCCATTTATCATCAAATGTGTGCCTGCCCTGCACCACAGTTTAAGTTATAGCTTTTTAATGGGGTAAAACATTTCTATAAAATCATCAAAATACCTTAAACCAAAACTGCCTGTAAGAAATAGATGAGTTTCAAGCATTGATTCAACCCCTGAAAACGTCAACCTTGCCATTGGCACCGTGGGCACTTCTAATAAAAGCAGCTAAGGAGGTATAATGAATATCCAATGAACCATTTTGTATGTCTATGTGGTTTCTCGAATTGGAAATAAATCAATGAGCCTTACAAAATGCATATTTTAGTGGTATATTCATAAACAATAATCTTGTTCTTCTATCATGACTCGAGTGTCATTCTTTTTATAACACAACTGAAGATTTAATAATTTATTTTATATATACATGACCCAGAGCTTAAAGGGGGAGGGCAACCTAGTGCATGTTTGATTTTTAAAACATCCTTGTGTGTGGAAGCTATGTGAATCATAAAGGTAAAACCAAAGCACTCACAATCTAGTAGTAAGCATGGGGACATGTGAAACTGGTAAACAACGTAGAAACTTCCAAGAATACAATACCAGAAGGCAGCCTGGACTGAGTGCCGTGGGCTAGTGAATGAAACAGACGGCATGAATCCTGCTTTGCAGGCACCTCTTGGCCGGCTCAGCCAGGGCAGCAGTCTCACTGGATTGAAACAAGTTCCTCCAGCAACAGTGTGGTGTGTTCCCCTGAAGAACCGCCCCCCGACCCACCACCACCTCGACGCTGCCAAAGGTTCAGCTGGGCTGTCCCCCCGCCCCCACTGCCACTTCCTCAGCTGGAAATGGGTGAGTTGCTGTCCCTCCCATTGGCATGGGCTCAAACCCTATGATCCAAAGCTGCCTCTCTATCTCAGCAACTTCCCTTCCAGAGGCCAAATATAACCAGCCCTTTCCCGGCTCACAAAAATTCCAATCAGACGGCTGCACAGGGACAACCGGCCAAAGAACGTCTCCCCAGCCCACAGCCAGAAACAACAGCCACTTGGTGAGTATGGGCTAGAATTCTTTTTTTCCTGTTGTTGGGGTTTTGTTTGGAGGCATTTTTGTTTTGGTTTTGGATTGTTTTGTCTTTGTCATTTGGAAGTAAATGGAGTAACCGAAGAAGTTACTATGTCAACATCCCTTGTTAGACCCCTGGGTTTCAATCTCGTTGTGGGGGGTCAGGACCAGAAAGGTATTCATCTCTTCCACCTCCCCAGTCACCCATATAGAAGGACAGTCTAGTAAGTGCATCCGCCCTACTCTGTCCAGCAGTGCCTCCTGCATAGCCATCATCACACGGGGACCGACCACTAGGAAGCCTTTTCTCCTCAGTCCAGCTGGAGTGACTGGAAGAGGCTCATCTCTGGGGCTGGATGGGGTCATTCCCATGTTTATACCCATGATGCACCCGGGCAGCCAGCAGGCCGTGGGCCCCAGAGCTGTCAGTTCTGTGCCCTCCGCAAGTACGAAAATGACTTAAATTATTAATTTATTTCTTTAAAAGTACACAGTTTTCAACAGCTACCAAGCCCACTTTTGATCTGCCTCCTGACACACAAGGCTCTTGTCAACCAGGTTCTCTGCCGGCCAACAGACACATCTTGTTAAATCTTACCTAGCGGGTGACACTAAATGGAACTGTGCTAAGGAGATCCAGGCTGGGAAAGGTGAATGTCTCCACTGTGCCCTATTTCCAAATGCAATGAATAATAAGCAATTGTGCAAAACTACAGCCTTCAATTGTTGGAACACCTTTGTTCTTTTGTTCTTCAAAGGCAGAATGTTTTCCGGCATGTTGCTACCTGAGGAAAAAAACACCCCCTTAATTTATATATGTGCATGCATATCACACAGATACATCTCATTTCTTGTCGCATTGCATGCTGTCCCAGGACCAATAAATAATTTATGTATTTAATGCATTTATCAGCTCTCCTGTGTGTGTGTGTGTGTGTGTGTGTGTTTGCGTGCGCGCACATGCGCGTGTGTGTACGTAGACATATTTTATGCACCCGTGTCAAACATGTCTTCTATATTAACAGAAAGCCAGCAACCTCTCGGGTGTTTCTCCACCATGAAATCAACTTTGCATCTTATGCATCAAATAAGTGAAAAGTGATAACAGGTCCCTGTTCTTTACACAAAGCTAAGCACTTGTTTACACCAGAAAGGGAGCTGTACTAGGCATTTCATCTTGTGTGTTTTCTAAGATTGCTCCCCTCCCTTATTCTTTTCTAAGGAAGGTCTCTATTACTCCAGGGCCATGTAGACTGTAGAGGGAAAATGGCTCCTAAGTTTCAACTTGTTCTATTTGGGTTGCCTTTTCTTTGCTTCCCCCTCAGAATATTTCTCATGATTGTCATCAAGAACAGCTTCTGAAAACCCAGCAGTGTCAAGTGTGGTAACAGGTGTGTGTGTTTGGCAGTCCTCACCTCCACTGCTATCCATGGGCTCCAACTTGGTCATCATTCACACCCTCGTGGCAGCAGTGTCTTGGGGTGCTACCAGCAAGATGACAAGCAGCAAGAATAAGCACGAGGGTAGCAGCTGCAGTGGGGCAAAGTCAGGTGACTGCACCTGGCTAATGATGCCTTTCTGCTCCAGCCGCCTCTCTCCACCCTCCTTTCTCAACTGGCTTTTGTGTTTCTTGGATGCCATGAAAGAATCACCAGAATGATACAGTCTGAGAGCAAGAGATCTCAGAAACATCTAGTTCAACCTGCTCATTTTAAAGATAAGGAAATCGGAGCCCAGAGCAGTTAAGTTCCTTGGCCAAGCTCGGGCAGGTGGTTGCTGGCAGAGTAATGACACGAATCAATTAACTGAACCTACTCTAATGGTCTTTCCACCATTCCACTGTGGCTTTCAAACAATTGTTAGCACAATCCACTGTATGGAATAGATTTTACATCATGACCCACAATATCTGTACATGTATACAACTGACACAAAAGTCTCACAAAACAATAATTATCTTAACTGTATGTGACACACTGTGGTATTTTCAATTGTAGTACATTCATTTTTAAAAGATTCTGGAGATTGCTTGGCAGCGTGTATACTAAAACACAGAGAAGACTAACATGGCCCCCACACAAGGATAACATGCAAATTTCCCCCATATTTTCTTCACATTTACCAAATGTTCCCTTTCCAGGGATAATATTTATAGGTACACAGTCAAATAATTTGCATTTTTCCTAATTAGATACATCTACTGAATGTCTAGGAAGGTGGGGTTGAATTAGAAACAGAGAGGGGTTCCTTCCAGCTCTAACCTGTCAGGCATCCAATCAGGAGTGATCTTACTGTCCGATCTGTCCTTAATTCTGAAAGACAGAATGATCTAGTAGAGAGAACACTGGGTCTAGTCCTGGCTCCACCATCTTCCAAGTGTGACTTGGGGTGAATTTTCTCTGGGTTCTGCTATCTCACTGCAAGAGCAAGCTGTTGTTAACTGACAGAGTTCTGAGAAATGAACAAAATAATGCAAATGAATGCAATAAGAAGCTCTATTCACAAGACTGGTCCTGGAACAGCAATGGTCTTAAATTCTCACATTTCAGAGAAATATGGTGTCTCAAGATGTTTCTGGATTCTCATCAAAACACCTGCATAATGTATTATGAATAAATTTGGCATAATAAAGAAAAACTATATTTTGGAACTGACTCAGTTTTAAATGCATTTGTGGGTGTTTAGAGAGGACAGGTTGACCTTAAATCTTGAAGAGATTCAGCCTCAGAAAAGCAGAAGTCATTGAGGTCAAAGATGACTCCATGCTCTTGAAAGGGAAAGATGGTCAGTCACAAATTGAAAAACATATTCAAGAAAGGTTGCTGTTAGTGAGTATGAAGAGGAATAACTGAATGAACCTATGGTAATACGTTCAGCTACAACAGCCATGCTGAAGGCTGGTGGGGCAAGTGAGGTAGAGAGAATAAGAAGAAAGAGTTCCAGGTATACTCGGAGCTGCCCCGGCTGCTTTTGAAGAAGTTATCTCTCTAGGAGATGGTTAGGCTTGGTTTCAGTGGTTTCCAGCTTTGGATTCACTAAATCCAATAAAGATTGTTAAAACTGATACAGAAACTATTTGTGAAAATATTCAAAATGTCTGCAGTGACCTTGCCAAGAGTCAGTTAGAAGGATCCGTGACAGCTGAAGCGTTAGGCAAAGCCATTCAGAAGCTGGTTGTGAAGCTGTGCTGGGAGATATGACAGCCCTGGCACCGCCAGTTACCAAGGGCTGCTTCGTGGCTGCTACTGCCGTGGGAAACAAAGCAGAAGTTGTCACAAAGATCCTGCAGAGGAGGAGGACCGGGGCGTGGGCAGAGTGGGCGAAGGTGGCGTGGAGGTGGCCTGTTCTAATTCCTAAAATAGTGCGTTATCACTATTAATGAGCTGTTACAGGAAGTCAGAGCTGTGTTTCTCACCAATAACCTCAGAGAAATCACTTGGGGGGAAAAAAAAGACCAAAGAAAAGGTTATCGGTTTCAATTAGGGGGTTTCAGGTAACAAAGTGCATGATGGTTTACGGCTGACACTGCACGCCCACATAGAACACGTTTTGTGTTTTTGAATAAAAAGACACTTGCATGTTCCTTTAAAAAGAAAAAGTCAGCTATGCTTACGAAATTTATTCCACAACCCACCATCCGCGGTGGGGAAGGGTGAGCCTTGAGCGCAGGCGGTGCTCCCTCTACCCTCCAGGCTCACCTCCAGCCTGTTCTCATCCTCTCCTCCAGCACCTACTCCTAATGTGCCTCTCATCTCAGAGCTTTTCCAGTGCCCTCTGGAACCTCTGTTCCAAGGTGAGAACCTCCCCTCGACTTTAGCCTGGAGGTGAGGGGGCTTCCTTTCTCTTCCTGTTTCCTTTGGAGCCTGGCTCCTTCACCCACTCACTGCCCATCCCACTCCTCCCAGACGCCCTGGGCCCAGAGAGGGAGGATCGGAGTCCTGCTTACCCCTCGGGGATACCAGTGCTCTTCTGCCTTCAGGTAAATCCCTCCTTCTCTCCTTATGCCACCCGTTTACTGCCACTACCCTAGACCTCCCACTGGCATCTTAGGTGGCTCACCACCTTCTCTTCTACACCAGAGCTTGCCATCAACTCAGGCATTTTAATATCCATGTGGACAACACATCCAGTGCAGCGGCCCTCCCTCCCCCGCTGTCCCCTCCCTCCCCCTGGGTACAAGCCTGACTTTGGGATCACCTAGCATTGTCTCACCCGAGGTATCCTCCATCCTCTGTGCCCCATTCTTTTCATCTTCCCCCATTCTCTCAGCTCCCTCGTGGTCTGGCTTCCTTCCCCTTCCAACCTAGACTCTAGGGCCCAGAACTTCAACCACTCTTTTGACAATACTCTAAATCAAGGGTCACAAATTTATTTTATAATGCACATCCAACAGTGAAACAAGAAAAACAATCAAGCACACATCTCTGACATTCACTCAATCATTCATTCATAAATTGCATACATTTTACTACTGGAAGGACATTTTCTTCATTTTAAAACATACCACAAACATAGACAGGCATAAACAGTAAGATTTGAAAAGGCCAATATAGTAAGAACATCAGTATTCTCTGCGCTTTCCCAGTGGGTCATCTCACACAGCCCCTGGAGGAACACACACCCAGTTTGGGAACCACAGCTCTAACCCCCATCACTCTCTCTCCCCTCTGTCACATCCACTCTGAGAAACCAACCCTGAACCCACTCAGCCTGAGTGTCCTGTTCTCTGTGAGGTGGTGAAATGATGCTGGGGGTCCGTCTGGGTCCCAGGTAACCTCTCTGGACTCACCCTTCTCTCAGGGCAAAGTCACTGAGCACCTCAAGGGGTAAAGTCGAGCCTATTGGCAAGAAAATTTCCTTCCTCTTTGTACCACCACCGAGGACAGTGTCTGGCACTGGCAGGTGATCCCCAGTGTTTGCTGTATTGCATTGTGCACACACGTGACACCTCCATCACTCTGGCTGCATTGGTGCAAAGGCGCGAAGAGCCCACAGAGAAAGCACAATCAGCCTCAGGGTCCTAGGCGGGCACGGGCTTGGAAGCTCCGTGAGGGTCACTGGCCCCCACAGCACCTGTCTGCTGTGACCCCAGCAACAGATGAGGCCGTCAGAAGCCAGACACCCACAGCCAACCCAACTCTAATTAGGCCCCGTGTGCCTGAAGGAGTGTAATTAAAGCCCATTTCACATCTTGACTGTTCTAGGGGCTTGCTCTGGAGACAGGCAATAGAGCCCCTCCAGACAACCTTCTCTTTACCCGCATGCTTGGAGCAGTCTGGGCCAGGGGCACCTCCATTTCCTTCCACCTGCCCCTCACAGAAGGAGTCCTTGGCTATCAGGGGGAAGAGGTTGGCAGGAGGGGGACAAGTCTTACAGAAGCAATAATGATGGGGACTTAAGCACTGCTGCCAGAGCCGGCACATAGGAGAGGTGACGGTGTGAGCCAAGGAGATGTGCTGTGGGCAAACTCTCCTCTCTTGCATTCTCTGCCCCACCCCCGACCCCTGCTCCCCCCCCGGAGATGCATCCCGGGTACCAGTGTCTGTAGAAGGACACATGACAGCTACTGCACTTCCCAAGGTGAGGGAAAGATGATTCAGACAAAACTCCCTCACCTCCTGTCAGTTCTGCCATCTTTTTCTTCCCTTCCTAGTGCAGCATTTTGTAATCAGTGGTCCATGGACTGACCCCCAGCATCAGAGTCACTTACAGGCCTAATAAAAACACAGAATCCTGGTCTCAGACAGACTGAATGAGAAACTCTGCAACGGAAGCCGAGAAATCTGCACGCCAACATTGTTTTGCTCCTTGAAGTCTGAGAACCACTGGAACACAGTTACTTCTCCTCTGTTCTCCCCAACGACACCTCATTAACCTGCAGCCCCTCTCCATCGCGCCACCAACCTGTCTGCCCCTCCACTCCTCAGGCCGCCACGACGAAGCCAGCGGGGACTTGAATGGAAGGACTCAGGCAGGAAGGAGGCCCCCTGCACTCTCACTTTCCTACGCTGACCATGAACGCCTCCCTTACTGCGCTTGGCTTTCATCCACGACATCCCCTCACGTGGTTCCCAGAGGCCACACTGAAGCTAACGTGGCCTGTCCAAAATGCATACTGGGCAAGCCGGGTACTTAATACGCTGAGCTCAAATAAAGTTGCCAGGAGGAAACCAAGTAAATCCGGGAGCTGAGATTTGGCCTAATGTTGATCTATTTTCAGCCAAAACACCCATCTACAAATAAGTCTCTACTACTAGACTGACAAAGACGGAAACGTCAATCAGCGCGAAGCAAGAGTTACAAGTAATAAAGACGTGTGCCACCCACTCACGTCCCGGGGACGGGGTGTGAATTTGAGATGACCATGGATGGCCATGACCATGAAGCACTTAAAACTCAAAGAAAACTCCCTGAACCGTTCTTCCGCCCACAGAATTTCCGTGGCACCGGTCCCCACGCAGCTCTGAGGAGTAAGCTATTTTCCTACGTGAACAAGTAGAGTTATTGCTACCCGTGCTCTGAATCAAGGAAGAAAAGGAAAGGTGAGAGGGAGAGGGAGGGTATGAGAGCGAAGAGGTGGAGGTGAGGCGCAGAAATACAGAGACGCAGGAAGGAGATCGGAAACCAAAAGAAAAGGAGCCAGGTGCTCCTCCCAGGAAGGAAGCAGCCAAGCAGGCGGCTTGTGACTCCAAGGCACCGGGTGGCTCCCCCGCACCCATACTAACAGTCTCACAGGACTGCGGCCTGGCTAAAAACGATGCATGTCAAAGGGCTCTGGAGATGGCAGAGTGTTCCCCGTTCAGGGTGTCAGCTCCCTGTGTGTGACCAAGGAGCTGCTGCCTCTTTCCAGCAGCCCTCCCAGAGGCTCAGGTCACCACAGGCCAAAAGGACGCACACCCTCTCCCATAAGCGGACGCACCAGGTTACCTGGGGACCTTAACGAGGGTGCTATTTTAGCAAGAAACTGCAAACGAGAGGATAACACGCCCTCGGAACATGCTGAATATCTACTGTGACACACAGCCCTACCAGGAGTCTGCGCTCCACTTCTGTTTTAACGTATTTACACACATTTGTTCTGAGACCAGCAGGGCCTGAGCCACAGCTTCCTGCATTCTGCCGCGTCAGCATGAAAAGACTTGCTGCCATAGGCCGGTTCAGCTCCCTCTGGGGCTCTCCACCTCCTCAGAGCCTGACTAAGATGAGACGCTTACCCCACAACGTAATGAAGAGACGGTTCTCAGGTCTGACTCACCCCTTGGGCTACCGGCTGCCAGAGCCACTGAAGAGCAGGCGTTCCTATAAAGTGCGCTTGCCACCAGGACCTGGCCACTAGAGGGAGCCAGAGAGCAACGAGGGCCCAACGTTTCCCCAGAAACGCCGGCTCCCCTGGCTCCCCTCCCCGACTCCCTCTTCAGCCCAGACACTGGGAGGCTTCACAGCACTTGAGGATCCACGGAAACAAACATGTTACCTTCACTGTATGGTTCCTTGGTAAACTCTTATTTTCTTCCTCCTCAAGTTTGGGTGGAAAACAAAACAATTAATTTAAAAAGCAGCACACAAGAACCTAAACATTATTTATGTCTCTAATTATCTCATTCT